AAATGTGTGTGCGCCCTGCGTAAACAAATCATCTGATGAATGACGGTTACATAGTCGGGCACTCTTTCGGGACTTCTTCAAGAGTGAAGGTGTGAACGGTGTGGGAGTCAGGAGAGGCGCGGATATCTGGAAGACGCCGAGTTACCAGGGTCGTGAATTGTACAGTTTCCTAAGTTTGGAAATGTCTCACTAAGACCTCTTCTGATACGTTTGAACCTTTGTGGATCTCGAGAAGATTCAGGCCATGAAGCTTGATATACTTTAAATGTGGTGGAGGAAGGTGCAAAGCCTCTAGATCTAGCAGGCGGTCATCGGTGCAGGAAAGCAGTTTACATTAACCCGTTTTGTTCTGAGCATGTGCTTCTCCCTACAGCCATCTCACACCGCCCAAGGCCCTTAGCACACAACAAGACTGATAGACTCCAGGATTTAACAACCTTTGGATTCTAGGAACGGTGTTAGCCCTCTTCCACAGGATTTTTCTGGCAAATAACCATGGATGGTTATGAGCTGATGATAGGCTGGTTAGATGGTAAGTATATGTCAGATTGTCAGACTCGGGCAGTAACCAGCCTTATAACAGGGTCACTACACCCACGGTTGATTGTCCAATAACCCGAGAAGTAAATTTGTCTGGCTAACAACCAAAACTTCCTGTTCTTCAGATTGCCCGCACCCAGTTTCTTCCTCTTACCTCGTTCGCCTCCTGCAACTCCGCTTGCGCTTCTTCCCCCGCTCGGATCTGCTCCCTCGCTTCCTTTAGCCGCTGCTTCAGTCCATCCCGCTCTAGTTCGACTCTCTTGAGCTGCGCGGCCTTTTCCTCTGCCACTCGCAGCGATTCTGCGAGCTTTTCCTGCAACAAAGGGAAGTGCAAGGTGTCAGGCCGCTCCTTTGAGGTGTCGCTCTCAGTTGCGTTTGCGGGAGATACAAACCTTGCAATACTTGGCACATACTTTTCTTACTTGACTTATCCGAACGGATATCTTGTGTGATGAGCGCAGAGCAGCCTGCATACTGCCGGTGACTACTACGACACAAACTGAGTGTTGGATGCCACATTAGTTCTATAGCATGCTTGTAATTTCAGCACGGCATCGAATGTTCCTGACAAGTACCGCCCACTTTAGAGGATTTTAATAGGTGGAGCAGTATCCAAAACAGTCACACGTTGTTTGAAAGGTATCTTGCATCATATTCCGTCTTCTTTCAACAGGAGCGATGACATCGGAACGCTTATTCGAAGCCAGGCCACTTGCCTGCAGTTGCTGAGCCTGCTTCTCCGCGCGTGCGCACGCCTCCTGAGCTGCCGGCAGCGCTTCCGCGTCTTTCTGAGCCGCCTCTAGTTGCGTCTCAAGCTCGCTCGTCTCCGCTTTGAGCCGCTTAAGCTTCAGCTTCTGCTTTTCGAGCTTTTCCACGGGCACCGCAACTGTGAAACGAGGACAGCGTGAGTCTCTGGCTGCCCGCTGGACCGATTCTTGTGGGATCCGGTGAGAGTCAATCAAGGGGAGTTGGCAGAAGCCTGTGCTATAGATCTGTGGGTGATTGGGAAGAACTCAATGTACTGCTGCTTTCATTATTGTGCACATTTCAAGAGCTTCAGGTCATCCTTGTTTTTGCGTACGCAATCTGATTTGTTTTTGTCCTGCGTGATCGCATACTACGGAACCTAAATTGGTATACTCTGGTTGAACATTTCAAGTTAGCATTGAAGCAAGGTACGGAGTAGAGTAGATACGAAGCGAAGATTGAACCCGAGCTCTTAAGAGAGGAGACCTGCGATTGGCGCCACAGACCAACTCATTCTGCAACTTTTTACTTCTGTGGGTCTGCATTCAGAACAGTTGCACCTGCGCTCCGTCGCACTCGAGAGTCTCATGTTGCTCACTGTATGGCTGGGTCACCCCCTTCTTGGCACTCCGTGGCGAGGCTGGCGCACTTGACTTCCCAGCGAATGCCATTGCGCCAGGTGGCAGAGCCCCGTCTCTGGCCGTCAGATCAGGGTGACAGTTCGCGGAAGCACTGAGAAAGGGTCGGTCACCTAGGCCTGAGCTTTTACTAGGTGCTTCTCAACCGATGCTGAGGTAGATCTTGCAGGATGGATGATTCAGCGGCATCTTGAAGCTGCAGACCTAAGGAGCGTGGCGTTTCAAATCGATGTTTGACGGGCCCTTACTGTCTGCTCTAGCTCTCAGGATGGGTATCTGGGACAAGAAGGCATAGGCAATCAGCGCAGCAACTTCTATGGAAAGTATTGATTTTACGCCTGCCAAAGAGAGCATTTTAAGTTTGACATGCACGGATCAGCTGGTTCCGGTCGTCACAGTTCCCAAAGAGTCCCAGGATTCTTACAAGCCACTCCACCTTATCTAGCAGCTGCTAAATCAAATGTTACCCTGTATAGATATTGATTTAAACCAGATGGTAAGCTCATTTTTCAGGACTTGCCTGGAGCGCTGATACTATTCAGGCTGCCTGAACACACTGATTCGACTGTGGAACACCTAGCAATCGGCGCTGCAAATGCTTCCTGCAAACCTTGACAAGTCGCAGGTAAGGTATGGGGTACGTACCTTCCACTTTAATTTGCAGGGCCATGAAAACTACTGCGGCCCAGAAACCCAAAGAGGGCAATCAATGCAGCGTGTGAGGGAAGCTGATAGCCTTGATAAAGTGAGACTCCGGTGGATCATAATGCTGTTGCGATGTGTCTCCGCTTATAGAAACCGTGCCAGCCTCTTTCTCATTTCTCTATATCCGGCTTCTCAAATCAGACATTTATGCAGCAAAGCCAGGCACCCCGGAAGGCATTTCGTGACTTTGATGCTTTGCTGTGACAGGCTGACCGTATAGCAAAACTGGCTAGCATTGCCACCGCCTTTCTAATATTTCAAACGGATTTCTGCGCATGGTCTCTACAAGAAATGAGAGTATACCATTGCTCAGCTCGCAAGCAATGCGGGCCGGCCGATCCCTGCTTCTTGGTGGCCGCTTGGCCCTCTGATTTAATTCGCCCTTCCTCTTGCATACGATCATGCAACCAGACAAGGAAATGATATCAGTAGGTGTCTCCGCTTGCCTACACTCTGGTGTCTAATATCATTTAGGAATAGGTATACTGAAGCCTTGTCTTTTTGTGTCTCCTCTTCTTGAGCCCGACTTAGACCAACTTCCGAAGAATGATGATTGAATCAACCGCCGGCTTACGCTACCACAGGAAGTGACGCGCGCGCAGTCTTAGAATACAATGATTAAAGTAGGGGGTTCCGCTTGGGTTGCAAAATAACCCCCTTTGAGAATGCACCAAAAAGGTTTCATCCGGTGCAGATATCACCTCTAAAGGATGGCGACATCACCACAAACGCCCATGGACGAATCAGAGGTGGTCATATGTCTCACGTGGTTGCCAGCGGACAGGTCATGTGGGGGCAAAAATTCACGGTTGCAGTCAGGCGCGTTGGTATCCTGACTTTCACCATGGCGAGGGCCACTCCTGGGTATGGGATTGGAGCCCTTCTAGAAAGCACAGCATTACATCAGAAATGCTTGACGTTTCCATTCAGTTATGCCGCTCAGGAAGTCCTTGTCTGTTCTGCTGGATCATTGCTGATCAGCGGTCAGGCTGCAAAAGCCTCATGTTGGTCGTTGCTTGCTGGCGATCTCGTCCGCAAGCGAGCGCCCAAGCATCCCCTCGAGAAAGCAGCAAATTTTAATACAATCAGAGCCGTACAGATGGTTTCCTCGATCCGTTCAAATAGCACGCATTCAAAGTAGTGCTGCGAGCTTTGGTCAGAACAAGGCCTGGGCTCTTCCATTTTTTTGGCGCTTTAGTCATCAGGAAGGTGGAACTTAGGCGAGCAGGAAGGTCTGATGTTTTAGTCCTTCCCAAGGTTTTTGGAACCAGGAGAGTGATCACTTGAGTGCATAATGGCGCAACAGAGTGGGGGGAAGTCTTGTGTGCGGGGCGCGCAGCAGGGTGAGGAACGGGGCGAAAGCTGTGCTGATTCAGCAAAAGTACTGAGGCCACGAGAGCCCTTGTGCGTTAGTGTACAAGCAGATGTACACGAGCCTGGCGAAAGATATAATGAAGGGGAAAGTGTACACGAGGTAGTCGGTGAGAGGGTACAGGATGGGGCCAAAAGCATGCCAGGTGTCCCGGCTGAGTGCAACGAGGAACTAGATGAGGGAGAACTGGAGCTGGAAGAGCTAGAGGGAGAAGAGGCGGGGATCGTTCCTGAAGAAGAGGTGAGTCGCTGCCTTCGATGTCGGGGCCTCTCCTTCTATGGAAAGTAGCAGTTCAGGACTTCTGAGTGCCAGAAGTATAAGTTTCTAAGAGAGATTTCTCTCCTATGATTGGTTATTGTGAGCAATGTCAGGGGAAACAACAAAAGCGAACAGAAAGCAGTGCTTGGAGCAGAGAGAGAGAGGGAATCCGTGAGCAGGTTACGAGCGGGTTACCTGCTCAAGAACAGAGATTGAATCCCTTCCTGTAGGAACTTGTAGTCTTGCCAGATGGGGGATACTTCGGTAGGATTCCCCCTTATCCAACGGTTGAAGGGTTGGTCAAAGCACCACTCAATAAACTGCTTGGCTAAGCTGGAAGCCAACCTGGTGTCAAAATTTTGTAGCCAACTTCTCAAGGCCTATCCTTGACACAACACTCTCGCATGCAGGCCCAATTACCAGAGAGGGCCAAAAGGAGGCGGTGGGTGCAATGCAGCGACCTCGTCTTCACGTTTTCTCATTTGGCTCTTGCTTCTGTCATCGGGGTAAGAAATCAAAACCAGGTTGAGGTAAGTTGAGCTCAACAGCAGTTTGACGTCGAATCAGCCATTGAGGATCCATGGATAGTCCACTCTAGTTGGCTCGCACGTTAACAGAAGGAAACATGAGGAAAGCATGAGATGATCTCTTGCGTCTCAACAAGTTTCTCTCTAGTTGCGGTACTAGTCTATTGTTGAGAAACTCGATTTGTCTGCTCTTGATTACCTGGGATATAAGTAGGTCTACGCATATCCTCTGCGCTATCATCCGCGTTTGTCCAAATCAGACAAAGAACCACATTCCTTTGGAAATCTTGACACAGTCCCTTATTGTAGCATAAAGCAGTCACCCTCACAAGAACGCTCCTTTTTGAGGTTCCAACATCTCGCTTTACTTGGTACAGATCCTCGCCACCTCTACGATGCAGGTCTTGATTCGCTGTGGCCTAGAAGACTTGTTTGGAAGCCGGGTTTTGGGTATAGTGGGCGATCAGACTGCTCTTTTCACTGACCTTCCAGTAAACATGGTAAGAGCCGCATGCGATTATAGAACAGGCTTTTCTTAAAGTGGGCGTAGACCATGCATGGACACCCAAGGGCCATCTACGGTGATGGGGCCCCAGATTCGCCGAAGTTGCAATCTGGTCCGTTGAAAACAAACGCAGATGCACGGAGTGTGGATTTTGGGGCTTTGGATTCCGATGCCCACTTTGACTTCAAGTAGCAAGATCAAACGACATCGCTTTGGATGCTCGTCAACCCTCCTCTGCGATCAGATTGTACAACCATACAAGGGTAAGCTGGTTCACAGCATTCTCGGTCCTGAGCACAGTTGCGAGTCAACTATCTGAGATTCGCTAATTCCGGGAGAGGCTGGAATGAGACGGGCCTTTTTTGATAGGAACTGCCGTTGCTGTTTCCAACTACGCAACAAAGGTTGCAAAGTCATCCAGAGATGATCTTTTCGATTAGGACGGGTCCTCAGAGAAAATCAGAACGGGATGTCACCAGCCTTCGAGTCGTTCACCTAATCAAAGTCAGCAGATCAAACCGCTTGCCCGTCAGTTGACGGACCGCGAGTTGGCCGTGTCAGCAGACTGTTAGCAGACTCCGAGCAGTTCGGTTCCCCCTTCATTGAGTCGGCTTGACTCTCAGCCCAACTTCGCGGCTTCCTCTACTCCATTCCTCAAACATGTCCAGTGTTCGTCAGTGTTCAGGCGTCCATTCCCCCCGTTGCATAAAGAAAGCCTCCCGTCTTATAAAGCCGCCACTCCATTCCGGCCAGCTTGCCATTGCTTTTCACGTCTGCTCCACTTCAATCTCCTTTTGACCTTCCCCAATAGATGATCAGGTTCTTACTTCTTCTGAGCGTCGCTTCTCTCCTCGTTCAGGTGGGCTCTTTCTTCATGGGCGTCATTGCGTTTGCTTGGAAGGACTCCATCCTCCGTCGTTCGAACGCCTTGTTCCTCAGCTTGACAGCTGGCATGTTGGGATCCTTAACCACGTACTCGGGGTTTAACCAGTCCATAACCACCCTGTTTGTGGAGGGCAACTGGGCGGCCGCGCTGCTGGGGCTCCTCATAGGTGGGCCCCCTCGTCCCATAAGCGTGCTTTTGTATCGACCTCATGAGACAAACGCTGTAGTATGTGTGGATAAAGATCGACAAGCTGGGACGCAGAAAGACTTGTCAACCCAATGTTTTGAGGTTCTGGCACGAAGAAGAACTGCACTTGCACTCGCCTTAAGTGAAGAGGTACTAATACTGACAGTGCTCTCGGCCCTTCTCCCAGCTTGCCTTTACCATTCGTGCGGCTTACTGAAACACAACCGGACATCTTTTTTCAGAAGGTTCGCTTTGTGAATCCTCACGTCTTCCTATTGCGTTCCTGCTCAATCTTCGTTCGAAACCCAACGAAGTAATCTGATACACAACCAGAATTGAATCTTCAAGGCTTATCTCGTAAATTCCTCACCTCTTCTCATTGATTACCCTGTTCGTTCGTTGCTCAAAAGTCATCGATGCGATTGACTCTGCATCGGGCTTTCAAGCTGCCTTTCCAACCCATTTTAGTGTACCCAAAGCTCGTTCTGTGTGAGAAAGAACAAGACACGTCCTCTTGAGCCGTTGCACAGAGTGACGCCCCGTCCAAGACCTTGCCTCCAACCACAGAGTCGCAGCACTACCGTCTCTTACGGGCAACAATCTTCTGCTAACGGTCGTTTGCTAAAGGTAAACCACCTTTTTACTTACTGCCAGGTGTCGAGCTCCCAGTGGTCTCCTTGGTCGTGGGCATCGACTTTGGACGTGGCGCGTCGTGGGCGTTTTCTAGACTGCTCCAACCGCGGCCCTCAATTTCCCTTAGTCGCATCACGGCCGACGAGCAAAGCCCCACAGAACCCAAAACCGCCTCTCAAAAGAGCTTCCGGCAGTTGCCCGCCGGAGCCTCGAATGCCGGAACGCGGCCGGAAAACCGTGTCGTCGCGCCAGAAATACGCACAACACCAAGCAAGCTTTGCGAGCGCCCTCCCAAAACCGAACCCTTAAACCCCCAGCGCGTCTCCGACAAGACGCGCCTGCGGCGCGCGGCCGCCGCGGCCGCGCTCTGGCTCGGCGTCGTTTTGCCCCTGGCAGCGGTCGGGGCAAAGTTTGACACCGGGAGCAGTCGAAGGCGGGAGATCTGGCTCGCGGCCGCGTTGGCGCCCCCTGGGGTTTGGCTGCGTTACCTCCTGTCGAGGTTTAACGTCCGGCCGAAGGGCGGTTTGAAATGGCTCCCGGTGGGCACGCTGCTGGCGAACGTGATTGCCTCTGCGGGCATGGCGGGTTTGTCGGTGGTCTTGGTATCGGTAAGGGCCTTTTTACACCTTAAGATTCTTCAAGATGTTACGTGGCAGCAGATACGGTCGAACATACATACTTGGGTCACAGACTTGACGTCCGAAAATTTGATGGTAAAAAGTAGGGCTTGACCTTTTGAGGTTGCTAGCTACATCAGTTTTCCTAGTGGTTCTTCAAAACTGCGCGCCGAACGACAAGAACCTCCGGGAGTCGAATCATTTCGGTTTCTCTCAAGCACGTGGGTACGTGCGGCTGTCTTGTGATGGCACTCCTCGTGGAGTCTGCGACCATCCGTTGGACCTTCCTTTCTTGTGCGAGCGCTCAATTCGGATCAAACCAATGGATACTGGTGGCAGGATCGGCCCTGCAGACAGCGCATTAGGGAACATTGAGGCGTCTTTCGTTGCGCTCCCGAAACAGAGTTTCAAGCTAAAGCGTCCCGGATAACCTCTTTTCAGCCAGTTCAATCGGCTGCGTCGTGATAACATGTTTGGTATGTTAAACCGCATTCTTGGGCTCAAAGACCACCCGCTGTTGCTACGGTCGTCCACTACGTTGAAAGCAATGACGTCAAACTGATCGCGGCACGGCTTTTCTGACGCTCTTCTTCCAGGTACGCGGGCTCGCCACTCGTTTGTGGTGCCAAGGTGTCGAAATCGGCGTCATGGGAGCTTTGAGCACAGTCTCCACATTCGCCGCTGAAATCTACTTGTTAGATCAGGGCAAGCAGCACGTCTGGCGAAGCTACGTGTACATTCTTGTCAGTCTATTAGCTAGTCAAACAGTAGCGTTGCTGATCTACGGCGTTCCGGTTTGGATCATGCACTATGATTAAGTCTGGTTGCAAGGTACGTCAATCGAATCACTGAGAAATTTGAGGTATATACAGCATCCGTTTGAAGCCTTGATTAAACTTGACCAGTATAGTGATGTAAAATAAGTCATTGAATGAGGAAGTCCATGAATCGGAAGAAAAAAAATCATTTCAGACTCGCATTTGGACGTCGGTTATTGGGATAAATTAAGTAAGCCCAAGTACGTATAAGCAGCAACTGGATTACTTTTAAGCTAGCAATGATTCAGTTGTCGACGTCAGGTTCTTGTTTAGTTAACTAGCCCGCAGGCTCGTTTTCATACGTAGATGTAATGAACTACAGTCGGCGGCAGCCTTGCATAAAGAGCAGAGATCACCCTCTTGGTAATCGTTTCGGACTCACGTCCCGGGCGATGTATCGCGTCATGCAACTCAAAGGCCATCGGCAGATTTGGCCACGATTTCGATGCTGAAGGAATCTTGATGTTCTCGACTTGACCGTTGGCAACTTGAAAGCCCGTATGTGAGCCATGAGTCCCATGACGCGTTTCCGTCATCCGTGTTTTCGAAATTAAGAGGATAGTTTTCTTTTCGCAGCTGAAAGTCCAATGTACATTGTAAACCCTCTCAGGCAAGGAGTGCGCGCCACTTCAAAGACCGGATGGTGCATACGCGATCTGGTCCGACGGCCGCAAGAATGGACGAACTTATCATGCATGGCACGTACGTTGCAATCAGTAGTTTTGCAGCAATATGATCCAAACGAGAGATAACTTGCCCTGCAGGCTGGCGCCCGCAGGCTGCATGCCGCGCACAATATTGTAGGACCTAGGCCCATCGTGTCAGAACATGTTTGCAGCGGTGCACTGAACTCCGGTTAGAAAACCGACTTCCAGGGGGGCCGGTTCCCGGGAAGCGAGCATGTAAAACCGACCTCCAGGGCGGGGGGTCCCTTTAGTCGAAATTTCGACCCCTAGTAGAAATATATCCCAGACCCAAGTGTTCCTCCCCCTCACCTTTGATTTAGGAGGCTTTGCGTGCTTTAGTAACCCAACTTTCGGTCAGGTGCAGTGCATTCGAGCCCCACTGGACACATGTCATGGCATAGAACATCGTTGTTGCATAAGCTCGAGATTCTCCCCATGCTAGTTGCATTCCTAGATATTTGCAGCTTGTAAGACCATCTTCACGATGCATTCGCAGCCGTTGATATTACAGTAGGAGCATCAGCAACCGTAGATTGAGATATTCATAGAGACGACCTTATCTTTA